AATAATTGACCAGTGAGTCCCAACTACCTTGTGCCACTTGGGAAATGACTCAATTTCAATGAATTGGACTGAAAACTGTAAAACATTTCATTTCTGACGCACAACGTATATTTCTTCTTAACTTTTTACACCAGACGCCACTTCGAAAAATACTTAGCAACCACTGTGATGATCAACATTAAAATTCCGGAACTTGGGCCGAAGTGGCATCAAAAACAATGTAGAGGTTACAGTCCTTAAAAGGCTACTAAAGGTCTATAACAAGCCAAAGTAACATGCACAGTTTGAACATTAACGCTGTAATCAAATGTAGATGAAAAGACAAAAAAAAAATGGTCAAAGTGTGTTGCACAAAATAAATAAACAAATAAATAAAAAAGACAGTTCTTGAAGATGATATGTTCATGATCTTTTAAGTTCCACAGTACTTAAAAGTTCAAAACTAGTGAACCGTACAAACAAAATATCTTCCCGCCCGCCCATTTACTTCTGCTATGTGGGGAAGCCCTTTTCTGACTGGCTGAAAAGTTTCAACACACGTTATCCACTAATAAGCTTGTACAGCTCGAAATTCTGAGGGAAACCCCAAGTTGACATGTCAAAATTACCGTGATATTTCAAACTCCAAAAATAGTTGCCCAAAAATAGGTTACTTTTTTGTGTACCACTAGTGGTACTTGTATAGACTGTTCCACAAGAGAATGAAAGATCCGTCATATAATATTAGTGATATTTTTGGCTTGATTGTTTGTGTCCCCTGAGTTTTCTGAGGTAAACTATGTCCAAAAAAGTTGCAAGTGTTTCACCTACCTCCAGATCAGTCATGTAGCTGAGAGCATCCTCGTCCGTCTCGTCAATGTGAGCCGAGAGGTGCGGATGGTTCAGCAGCTGGCGCCTCGGAGTCAAGGTAAAGCATAAACATGTTCACTTGCAGAAGGCATTCTCTCAAAGTTGAGCATGCAAGGAGAGAGGGATGGTCTTGGGCGAAAGGATACAGCAGTCACCCAAAAACCGGGGATGTTTTTTGTGATGGAGCGGCGTTGGTTGAGATGGGGCCGCCGCATGCGGCCCATCTTCAGCTCCAGGCGCTGGTGGAGCCAGGCGCTTTTCTTCTCGAGAGCTTCCAGTCTCATCTGAACCTGCGCCAGGAGAGCCACTGACTGTCTCATCTCGGGAGCCATCTTAACAGACACAATGGCGCACTCACCGTCCTCATTCTCCTCATTCTCGGACGGGAAAGAGGAGCTCGGTGTGGAAGAAGATCTAGACAAGGATTCATCACCTTCACCCTCGTTTGCGGCATCATCCGCATCTTCTCTTTCTGCTTTGTGTAAGCTCGTGGAACTGTCAGCGGCAGCTGCCCGCGTTTTAGAATGACCTCTGAGAACCTGCTGGTCCCCACGCCGATTGGCTTTGCTCCCCTGTTTGGCTTGTTTGGCTCTATTAGAGGAGCACGGAGTCTCTCGGCTGTCTTCGGCGTCTCCCCCCGTGAGGCTTGCGAGAGCTTCGGCGGCTGCTATGGCCGCCGGGTCAGAATCAGACTGGTCCAAAAGATTGCAGGGATCGGGTCCTGTGCTTGCATCTGCATCGTCCTTCGAATCAGCACACTTGTGCGCCTCGGCCGACTGGGCTTCCTTGGATTTATGCTCAGCCGAAATGGAGTTGTTGACAGGTGCAGAAGTCGGGGTGTACTGTACACAGTGCGAACTTTCTGCTTCCTCTTCATGCTCTGAATGTTTTTCTTGCCCAGCTGCTTCTGTGCTCTCGCCGTTTTTGCATCGCTCCGCGGCATCCTGCACGTCACGACACGCGTCGTCCACTTTCGAGGACTTGCTGGGAATAGAGCCTCCCTCATCCCGGTCCGGTGAAGGACACCTTTTCCTCGATTCGGAGTCGGCGCCCTGCTTGCAGTCCGTCAATTCGCTCATGCTGGCGAGCTAGCCAAAGCAGCTAACAAGCTAGGTAGCCCGCGAACACAATTACGTGAAATTTCAACGTACCCACCAACACTCGACTCAACACAACGGATAAGCGTCGTGGTTTCGCGATTGTCTTATTTGTCTCTTGACGTAACTTACATCCTCAATGACGACTGGACAGGATGCAGCTCGCTCGCGGCCTACGGGAAACGATAGGAAGAAGCAGTTAAATGCTAAAGCTACTTAGCTCGACGTTACCCATGTCGTGTAACCTCGCAGTTTGAGGCGACACATTTCCAAGAAAAGGGAAGACGCGCAAGACAAAGGCCAGTAAAATAAGATAACTCGCGTAACTAAGGTATAATTCCAAAGCAAGTTCTTAGTTTTGTGTTTCTTAATCCTTCATTTTACTATCCGCGTTATCGCCGTAAGGGAAAAAACAATGCTGTGATTGGTTCTAGCACGTCGCGCTAAAAGCTCTCGACCAATCGGATTCAAGGGTGTGCTTACTGGCTGATAACCTTGCAGAAGTAGTGTGCGATATGGCAACGTTAGGGATCGCACCTATGTCGATACTTTTCATCATTAATGTGACGCTTCATCACATTGCAAAAACTAAATAGTACATTTTGATTTATTACGTGTTTTTGTGACACATTTTCCTTCACCGATGACTACAATCCTGTTTAAAGATTGGGCAAAATGTATACATATGGGACCTATAATCATTATAGGTCCCATATGTATTATATTATCATATAATGTATACATTTTGCCCAATGTGCAGTACTTTCAATTGAAAGTATTGCACGACAGTAACCAAACAAATTTCCCCACATTGTCACGTCTGAAATGTATTCTTAAAAATGACAAAGTGCACAAAATTGTCAAACGTAAATAATAGTTTTCAACAAGTTCAATACAACGTTGTTGTACATTTTTTTATTCTTTACATTTTCTCTCTGGTGTATAAAATCATCACTGCACATCAAAAAAATAAACAAGCCATTTTTTTTTTAGCCAAATACGAGGTGTGTTCAGGATACAACGTAACAAAAAACAGAAGTTCTGCCCTTAAGAGCACCTCTTGACTGGCTTCGAGGAAAAGCTTAAAAATATTTTTAATTGTTCAAATACAATGAAAAAAAAACTTAACGATAACAGAAGGACCCCAAAGCCCTCGGCACGAATAAATGTGATCATATTATCGTACTGTATTAAGAGTATATACTAGGGGTGTAAGCGATACATCCATTTAATGGATGTATCAACGTGTCTGCCCTGCAATCCGGCTACATCGATAGGCACTGGACAACTTTACATCAATACTGGCCACACATCGACACAACATCCTTTTTATTAGTTATTGATCAAATGAATAAATATGATTAAAAAATTAGAATAATTTTATTCAAAAAATTCCTACTGCACTTTTATTTTTTATTGACTTCTCAATGTTATTTTTAATTATCTCTTATTATTTTTTTGCTTGTATGTGTTATTTCCGGTTGGCGTCGGGGATTTACATCAAGCATGCAACATCAGTCATGGAAGCAAGGAGGAGTATACTTAAGATGAAACAATGCGTAAATTTGCGGGAAAACACTTTGGATCTTGCAAGATCGACTTGACAAGACAGTTGTGTATAGCATTTTGCAAATGCCACGTGATATATAACGGAAAAGCAACAATTTGTCAATGCATCAGAAACAGCAAGAAACTTTATTACGATCGACAATAGCGATTGCTGTGCAAGGTACCGCGACAGACCAAAAAAGGTTTTGCTGCCTGATTCATTCAAAAACTCAATCCAATCTCCCGCTAAAATAATTCTTTATTATTGCGGAGTACGCAGAAAAAAAGTCTTGATGCTGGACCATGTAGAGCAGTGTTTTTCAACCTTTTTTGAGCCAGGGCACGTTTTTTACATTGGAAAAATTTTGCGGCACACCACTAACCAAAAATGTGATAAAATGACACTCTGAACAGTGTATTTAATTAAAATATAATTTCTCAGTTTATTTATACTCAATCAGTGTGAAACCTGGGGCTGTTTAGATCAGGGTTTTTCGAACTTTTTTGAACTTTTTTTCATTGAAAAAAATCTCGCGGCACACCACGAGCTGAAAATGTGACCCCCCCACCCCCGCTTATTTTACCAACAAACGTGTTATATTGTTACTATAACCGTTTTTTAACATTGAAGAATGACGTTATAACAGCTTGAATTGGAATCTAATGAACACAAAGAAAATAGTATTTTATCATCTTTCATATTTATTGTTTCACCGTCGTCCTGCATTCATGCGTCACAAATTCGCTTGTCTCTCGTCTAAACACAAGGCAATTGGCTAGCTGTTGCTGCTTCCTAGCGTTTTTGGGAGGGTACTACACGATTACTTTCTGGGCGAAAGACCGCACAGGCATAAAAATTGGATATTTTCCCGCGGCACACCTGACAATGTCTCGCGGCACACTGGTTGAAAAACACTGATGTAGAGTAGCTGATAGTTTTGAAAAATATATGCAAGTCTTGGGAAAGAAATGTTACAGCACGCCTACATAGTTTTTCTTTATACAGAAAAAAATCACAGCGGAAGGTTAATACAATGAATGTGAAAATATACAAGTTTAACATTGTATATTTTTATGTTCCATGAAAGAGAACGTTTAATATTGTTCAGATGTATGAAGTACTTTATCAAAAGGGTTTGTTTACATTGATATTTAATGCATAAAAATTGGAATGCAAAAATTACTTTTGAGAATGAGTTAGTGTATTTAAAGAGAACTAGTTTGTTCTGTTGCACTTTGTTTATGCGAGAATATTAAAAGAACCAGCTTGTTCTGATATCAATGTTTTTACTTTTTCTTTTTTTTTACATTTTGGAATGAATAAAGCTGAGCGGTTTTTGAAATAAAATCCAATGTAACTGATTTATATTTTGTTTATTTGGAGTGACCTTTAATTAGTATAGGTTTATTTCCAGAAAAGCCATAGTTACAGTACAGTATATCATATCATAATCACCTGTATCATATTGAATTGTATTGTTCCAAAAGAGGTATACAGTAATCCCTCGTTAATTAAGTATTATTACCGTTAAAGGTTTTATTTAAGTCATGTCTGTATTTTAATGATGTCTGCCTTCTGTGTTGGTGAGCCAAAGACAGTTTTGTTTTATTCTAGTACTGGGATCAAGATGGTGGTGTTTAAGGGATTGCAACCATTCGACCGACTTGTATGCTATCAAAACGTTTCCATTGTTTTACTAACGATTTGACCAGAGGAACAAGCAATGCTAAATAAGATGATGACAAATTTGAAAAAAATAGTTTGTGGAACCATTTTTGAACACCATATGCTGGTGTTTTGTGGCTTGCACAAGACAATGCACTCACCACAACTCATTTTAGAAGTCAACTGCATGAAAAAATAATATTAAATAAGACAAAGAATGGGGAATACTCTATATCACTTCTACAAATCCGTTGTCATTCTCTGCTCCCTAGTTGATGATCCGCTATGGCTGCTGTTCCATTTCTTTTCCACCTCAAAAGGGAGGGAGGGAGACTGAGGGGAGCGACGGTGCTGCGTGCGGGATGGGGGGGGGGATCATACCAACTCGAAGACACATTGGGAGCATGGAGATCCGGTAGGTCAATGCTAAAATTAGAGTCCGACAGCGGCCAAAGTCTGATGTTTTAGCAGGGGACACACTATCACAAGGGCTGGCAGGACAAGTTTCCCATATGTGACATTTAACGGCGCACGTTAACCTAGGAGACTGTGTGTTATGTGCAGCCAGTGTGCGGACCGGTGCCTTTGCTGCTTGACGTGTTATTCTTCTCGAGGGTCCTCGCATGAGCAGAAATGTCTTTTCTAACCATACCGAGTCAAGAGTGTCTTTTCACTCCCATCAAAACTGGCAGGTCACCTGACGAGGCACAGGGACATTTGGCGGATGATGACGACGACGACGACGACGATGAGGGAAGCGAGGACGTGCGCCTGATCCCAAGATGCTCGCCGGTGCCCAGGAGGCGAGGCTCGTCCATCCACGACGAGACAGCCGAGTACCTGCGTATCCAAGCTTTCTTGTCCCCCGGAAAGCGAGTGTCGTTCGCCGACACCACGGGCGGAGACCTGGTAGACGTCCGCGAGTTCGTAACCTTCGACTCGGATGACGAAGAGGACTCAGGGAGGTGGGACGAAGAGCTGGCGAAGTGTGGACCGGCTGAGCGAGACACGGTGTTTCATGTGCACCCGGACTTTGAGCCCCGGAGCGGAGGCGAGCTGCTGCAGGTGGTGCGCGCGCAAAAAGTGTGCATCGAGCACGTCGGCCCTGTGGAAGATGAGCCCCTCGCCTTCAGTGGCCTCGTGCGGGTGCTCAATGTGTCCTTCCACAAAGCGGTCTACATCAGGTCCACCATGGACAACTGGGAGACATACTTCGATCACCCCGCAGAGTATGTCCACGGATCCCATGACGGGGACACGGATAAGTTCTCCTTCAAGCTGTCTTTTGCGTCCCCTTACGTCACCCACGGCTCTCGCATTGAGTTCGTTGTCCGCTATGAAACCACTGAGGGGGATCACTGGGACAATAACTCTCATATGAACTACGCAGTGTCTCTGCTTCTGTCCTATAAAGAGGAATTACAGGAGACAGACGGCGAGCAGCAAGAAGTTAAAGGGATCTTGAGACCCCCCAAACATTACAGGTCAGTAAGCCACCACTGATAATTAAAAAAAAAGGCACACATCTCGAATCGGATGTCAATGAAATGAATTGAAGTGCAGTCAAGATGTCTCGGCCTCACAGATAAATACTGTAAATAAAAAATGTCATGCGTTTTTAATGAGGAAAATAGCACTCTGCAATACTGCAAAACACAATTAAAAGTAATCTAAAGAAATGAACACTGTGCATCATAATGTAATGCTTCAATTCAATACAGTACTCTGTGCTGCTCTTTCTGGTGTGCCCATTTAGGCCCACAGGTGGCAGTACAATACAGTCCAAGACCCACTATTGAAGAAGAGTCACCAGCAGTCAAGCCGTTTCTCAATTTGCATTCTTGTCCATTCTTATGTCCTTGTGATCTTATGAAATGTCATCAGTCACGGCCCAAGTCCTGTTCCAACTGAAAGTACACAGAACCAGCAATGCACAGAATACCCGGAGGTGGTTCATGAGTGGGTACGGCAATAATTCAATATAGCTTTGCGGCACAGTGGTCGACTGGTTAGCACATTGGCGTCAGTGTAGAGGTGCAGGGTTCGATGCTGAATCCGGCCTTCCTGTGTGGAGTTAGCATGTTCTCGCCGTGCCTGTGTGGGTTTTCTCCGGGTACTCTGGTTTCCTCCCAATTCCAAAAGCATGCATGGCAAGCCAATGGAATACTCCAAATTGTCCTGGTGTGGTATATCTGGGCCTCAATGGCTCTGGTGCTCAGGGCCTGCTCCTGAGCAGCCAGGATGAGTGCCTCTGTGCTGTCCTTCAGGCCAGCCCTCTCTAGCCACTGATAGGACTTCTTGAGATCAGCCACTTCAGTTATGGTCCGGTGTTACATCCCGTGTAGGGGCTTGTCCTCCCATGATGGTCCCTCTTCCAGCACCTCATCCTCTGTTCCCCATTGTCTGAGACATTCTCTGAGTGCGTCATCTGTTGTATATATATTAGAGCTGTCAAATGATTAAAATATTTAATCTAATTAAAAATGCAACTGTCATAATTAACTCAAATTCACTAAAAATTAATCGTGATTACTCACGCATTTTTTATCGTTTCTGAATTTCCTTTGATATTTTTTTGTCCTATTTTTCCCCATTTTAATGCTCTCATCAACATGGAATCATGAATCAGTTTTCTATGTGCAAAATGTACATATTTACTGAAATAACGGAATTTCCTTTGATATTTTTTTGTCCTATTTTTCCCCATTTTAATGCTCTCATCAACATGGAATCATGAA